TGCGACCTGCGCATGTACCAGGGTTTATCCACCTACCTGACGTTCCAGGACTTCAAGTGGGGCTTCGACGTGGCCATTCATGACGGGATGTTGGTGAACGTTTACTTGGCGGGGGTCCACGGCAGGGAATGGCTATGGATCGATGATGTCGTCCGGGAGGACCGCCAGGTGTTGGAATTCCACGGCCTGCTCTCGCTGACCTTTGTTTTGGCGTGCGGGACAGCGCAGGGGAGGCGCTTTTCGGTTCCCTTGTTCAACGCGCTCCTGTCGGAGCTGGGCAGCATACTGGGGGACTCCAACCCTGGAGGTGCCCGGGCCTCCTTGCCGCCGTGGGCGTGCGAGGCTCTCGCGTTGGCGCACGAGCTCGAGCCCGCGCAGTCGCTGGACGAGCCGCCTTCTTGCCTTGCCTTTTTGCAGTCCTTCGCAGTAGTCATCGGGGAAACTCTCGCGCACGTTGGCAGCCAGGGGAAGCGTCCGGCACAGTCGGTAGCGGCTGCGTTGGCGACCCTTCCCCGGCTGTCCGATCGCTTGGCAGTAGTGGATCTCCTCGGCGAGGCCTGCTTGGACCCGGCGCAGTACGTGGACGACTCAGTGGTTGCTTGCGCCTCTGTTGGCTCGGTGCGAGCAATCCTTGACCGGTCCATGTCGTCGGCGGTGGTTCGGTACGAGAGGAGGCCGAAAGCGGCTTTTAACGTTGGCCCGAATAAAACGTCGGCAATGGCAATCGGGCGCAGCCCAACTTTCGACTCGAGCGCAATGGGTTTTGAGCTTTGCAGCACGCGGCTTCTGCTGGGGATAACTATTGATTCGGAATTGAGTTTTGTCCCTTTTTCTCGCTCCCTTCTGGCGCTGGGGCGCGCCCTCTTCGACGAATTGTACCAGGCGGCTGAAGCAGGGGGGTTCCCGGTGCCTGTGCTCGCTGCCCAGATCCCGCAGCGTCTTGAGAGTGCCATCATGTTCGGGGCGGCGCTCTTGCTCGGCGTCCCGCGCATCGAGTCGGACCTGAACAACCTGCAGAGCTATTGGGCCAAGGCCACGCTAGGGTGCAGAAGGGGCCCGCGTCTCCCCTGGGCCCTCTCCCGCGTGCAATGCGGTTGGGGGAGGCGCCTTGGCGCCCGGATGCTGGAGGAAGTAGTCATGGCACGCGCGCGTTTGTGGCTTTTGCCACATGGCCACCCTGCCGCAGTGATGCGCGAGGCCGCGCGGGCATCCCCAGCGCCGTCGTGGTGGCGGGCTTCTGGCAAGGTGCTGGAGGAATTCCCCGGGGGGGCGCTCCCCGACGTCGTCGATGTAGATTTCTTGGCGGATGGCGTGCCCGAGGCTGTGGCGTCCCCGGGAGCGCGGAAAGCCCTTCTGAGGCGCTACAAGCGGGAGGTGGTCCAGCCGCCGCTGCGCGTGTATGACCGGGAGGCGTACGAATCGGCTGCCAATTGTACACTCCCTGGTTTCGGCGTAGGTTTCTCGTCCTTCCAACCTTTCTCTGTTCTTGGCGACTTGCGC